GCTGAAAAAGAAATCAATTTGGTAGCCAAAAGGGCCATTAAAATACCTACTCGATGTAGACCCGATCAACAAACCGTAAATGGAATACCTCTTTTGTCTCGCAACACTAATTTACTAAATTAGCTTTAGAACAGCTATAAAATAGAAAATTCATCAAATAGATCACGGATGTAAATAAGGGTGCTTTATTATTCTGCTATACCGATTAATTTACTACTGATAGAACAAGAAAAAAGAAACAGATAATTCCCAAAAACACACAACACAGCAAGGTGTTTTAATCGTTTACGCAACGCTAATAAATAATAATCTATGCACTCATATTTAAATACACGCAACTGTAATTGTGAAAGGTCTTAAAGCAAATACATTACAAGCTATTGTTACATGATCACCTTTCGTGCAAACTTTTTAGCTGTAGTACATGATACAGGAAGTGGAATAGACACGTCCATAGTCCCAGTGAAATGATTTGGCGCATTTTATAAACGCAATACTAAAAAAGCGCGATCATTCGTTAATGTAACACTAAATAGAATGGTAATTAAAACAATCATGATGGAGGAATATCACAACATTCCTTAATTCTTTTCTTCAAATTGTTGTACGGATGAAAAGCTATTTTTAATATTAACCAAATTTATATGACCATAAATTGCAACTTTTGTACAAAATTAATTAATTCCTTTTTATTAATTCAAATTTTAAATAAGAAAAAATTCTAATACTATTCTGTAAGAAATTATAGTAATTTATAAGGAAAAAATTCTAAAAGCAATCGCGATATCTCATCATTCGCAACGTTACAGCAAACACGATCATTTCTTCGCGACACTAATACATAGAACAAACCGATGTTAATAGTTTTTCGTAGCTCTAATTCGAAACGTAATTAACACTCGTTCGCAACTCTAATCCAATTCGTAATTAATCACTCGCAACACTAACAAAACAACCGCGATTTGCCCAAATTAGTGGTAAACCAAACTGTACATCGCCCAAGAAACAAACTACTACTACTACTATTACTATTACTAAATACTAGAAACACTATTACGAGTACAGTGACAAAGTAACAAGAGTGATCTCCGATCTTGTTGATGATTCATAGAACGGGAAGCCATTAACCTGTTAACTTACGGGGTGCGTAATTAAAATCAAACAATAACGAATATACACGTCAAACGCAAAAGCCTACTTACAGACGAAATCCCGAGACGCCTCTAACACTCGAGTTTAGCACACTACTTTCACGCTCTAATTTACATACTATTTTCCTGAAATTGTTTAACCACGGCTAGCGAAAATTGCGTAAAACACGATATAAATACGTGTATATCTCAATTTTGATTAGAAATGTTTATAATTGAATGAGTATATGCGCCTACTAAAAAAACGATATTACTGCGATAAAGTATGATTAGTGTATCTATTTTTATCTAACGGGCTAATGATCTTTCATTTCGCATTTCCACGGCTTATTACAAATTATTACAAATTATTACAAATTATTACAAATTATTATGATTTTATGCTTTACTTTACTAATTTAATTTAAGGAATCATTAAAATTCTAATACTGAAATAAGAAAATTAAGAATGAAAAGGACTCTATGTATCTATCAAAAAAGAAGTTCAAGCTTAGTAGAATGTAATAATTGACGCCAAGTTGAATATTAATGGGAATAGCCTCAGGTGATTCCTTTGTCAAAGTACATTTCCAACAAAATGAAAGCAGTGTTTCAAACTTGTTGCTTTGATCCCAAAATCTGGCTGTCGCGAAGTGCCTTCTTGCATTTGATATTCAGTAGCTACATGGTTATACGGAGAAATTTGAACTTCAACAGCTTTATGTTTGAAATAATATCCGAGTTTATAACATAAAACATTACACAACAATGTTATTAGATCTTAAGATAAAATATGATTAAATCAAAAACATTACCATAGAATAACTGTAGTGAAATCGGAGGATATCCGATTTCTCCGTTATATTCCGTTTTAGTAATTCCAACATTCATTATCTATTGAAATATTCACATTTCATCTATTTACGCATATTCAGTGAGCTTTCATCGATACTATTGATATGCAATTTTAATCATCAAAATTCGCGATATGCAAAAAGACCTACCCTGAACTAATAAATAAAACGCATAAAAAGAAAATGTTGCTACTCACGGGTATAACAACTACCCGTAGTCGTTATGCTCGCTAAAAATTCTGCGTAGTACAACCTTAATCAACAACCTCAATCTTAAAATATTTGCATTAAAATTTTAATTTTTATCTATAATTAAATTTATATATAGAGATAAAAAAATTAATATATTTCATAATTAATAATTATATATTAATATATACTTATTTATATAATAATTGAATTTTTACCAATTTTAATCAAAAATTTAAGTTTTTTTATCGAAAAATTTTTATTTTATTACGATAAATACTTAGAGAACCATTTAATTTATCAAAATATTTAAAATTATACAAATTTTATTATTCAATTAAATTATTATTGGATATCTTTATTGGAATATCTATAATAATATCGTTGATATTTTATATCTATATCTAAAGTAGAGAGAGATATATATATATATATATGTATATATATATAAATATTTATATATATCCGTATCGATACGGACCTTTCATCCTACGACATGATTGGGTAACTAAAGGAACGAAAATGCATGAGACTCACCATTGCATACGAAGAATAGTGCCATCAATGTTACTGCAATTCAGAAAATGCCATCACGAAGGAATAGGATCCCATGATGCAACTGGAGGTTGTGAAAAATCTTCAGAAAAAAAAAGATAGAACTGTATTAAATTTAAATCTTTAGTGCTAATGAAGATTGAAATTCTAATAAACTGTAATAACGATAAACAATTACGATTCCAATCTACAAGCTTAAGAATTAGAAATTTAGAATCTAATGATCGTCCAAGCATGTCAGATGTTTTTATTTTATAGTTCAATACTTTCAAATTTTATTTCAATAAAAAAAATTATCTTTTTGATTAACGATGATTCAAACAAAATATGAAGAAATAAAATTAATGAAAATATAATAGACAAGAATACTTACTACATATTTTTAACTCTTGAAGAGGTTAGATTCTTTGAAGAGAAGCACTGATTCTAATACCGAAAGCTGATATCGAATTTAAAAGAAAATATGAGAAAAGAAAAATAAAAGACACTACGAACAAACACTGACTCAAATTTCGTGCGTGAATTCTAACTGAATTTTCAATTATTAAGAGCTATTGTGCTCTAAAAAATATTGGAAATAACACTGCGCAACAAACATTGACTCTACTGACCGCATTGCGCGCGATCATAAACATTCTCGGAAAATAAAGATGTATTAGTAAAGAGGGGGAACACAAAGGAAAACAAAATGTTTTATTTTCATATTTTACTTTTTCTTCTTCTAAAGTGTTTATTTAAGAAAATACTACTAAATCTGCCTATTAATTGTTATTTGCTCCTCAATAAGAAATACACATACATAAAATATTGTTTACAAATCATAAAACACTTCCTAATATTGCCAAATATCTATGAATCGATCGATCGAATTATTGATATGAATCGCTTTGCAAAAATCCAAGAAACTGCGAGTGTTCAAGAGAAACATTCTAACAATAAACTGTGTTTGTAAACAATGTTTCATAAATATGCAACTATGCTTGAAATAAATCAAAATGTTCCACTAAATTTCAGAACACTGCATAAAAGCTGTATCTAACCTTAAAATTGAAAGATATCTGTCATTGTGGTTCTTTCGTAACAATAATAAAAATTGTAATAAAAGTTATGATTCATTAATAATTATTTAATAAAGAAATAATTTAATATATCCATACATGAAAAAGTAATTAGTTTAATCTTTTTTACTTTCATTTTTATGTTCATATATCAATGCATGATAATAATACAATTATGCATTATCAATTACATATTATTATACAACGTATTAATTACTATGAAATTAGATAAATTATAAATTAGAAATCATCGATCCGTCTACTAATTCATTCATGACTTTTATTCGTTCGAGTTTACTCATGTAATTAACCAATAATCGATCGAATAATCTGTACAAAAGACAACTAACACAATTTAAAATAATTAAAGCCAACTATATTAACCTAAAGTAATAAATAAATAAAGTTTCAAACTGAAATTTTACCTCAAAAGTGTTAATACAATATTTGTATAAGTTAAAGCATTCAAATAATCGAATATATATCCAACCAACCAAAAGAAAAGCAAACATACTTAAAAAAGTATAAAATGTATTTAATAGTAGTGTATAAATACTTACAAGACAGCAACGAAGGATATTGCGCAGTTAATAGGTTAACGCCGCGTTCCGAATGAGTATACACATGTCTGCGTGATGACTTTCGACAGTCAAATGACTCCCCGCGCTACAGGTAAGTCTATAAGCTTAGCGGGGGGTAAAGGAGGGATAGCACAATTTGGTGGGATAGAATTCGCGCGCGGTTTATTCAAGATTTGAATCTAATCTATCTATATTTGCGCGCACTAATTTATTTTAAGAAAAAGAGAAAGTTCTGATTATATGTTATATAACTTTACAAGAATTATGTTAATATTAAATATATAAGCATATGTAGATATTCACATAAGGCTGTCAAAGGAAGAAAATCTTTTTATTACAGATGAATGATGAGATTTAAAAAATGTTTAAGAATGTCACAGAAGTAAAATAATTTTATCATTAAAGTATTAAATAAACTTTATATTATATATAAGTTAATATTAAATATTAAATAAAAAAATGCTATAGAAAGAAATTATTGATGTAGTTAAAATTACAGGATGAGAAAAGCAATAAAATTAATATTAAAACAGTTGTTTTTATTTAGAAAATATGTTGATAATTTCAACAATTTCAACTATTTTAGTATATTAGTTATTGAAACTTTTAAATATTAGATATTTTTAACTTCGATATTTCGCATTTCAATGTTATACATATAATATATGTGCGTGTTTTTATATCTTTTCTATTAGAGTTCAACAACATCCACACTTACAGGGTTTCAAAGAAGCCTTAACAAATCTTTCGAGTGTCAGTTCACATATAGCCACGATTCAACAGGGTTGTTCTATCGCGTTTCCGCGTTGTATGTATTATCTTATCAAAGAATATATCGAGAAACTGTAACGTTACAGTGAAAGAAAATGATCCTTTTGAAAGGTGTGCATTACTTTGTATCTTCATTTTTTGTTTACTTATTAATAAAGACACTACAAATCCTACGAATATACTTGAGAAATGAATACTTAACACAATGAAAAAGTTAAAAGTTATTACTTATCGTAAAAAGAACCTTTAACCTCGATAATTAATTTCCTAAAATTTGGAATCACTTTTCCAATTGTTCCTAAACATACTGAACCTTGTGCTGTGATTTTTAATCAATACTAAAAGATATAAAAAGTTATAGTTTCTACTTCGATAGATCTTTGACTGAAGATTTTTCTAAAATAACAAAATTCTAAACTGACATGTTTTTTAAATTCTTGAATTCATGGAATAGGTCGTGACTTCAAACTTTTGAAAAAATAATAAACGATAAAAGATATAAAATATTCAAAGTAAAATTGTCATAAGCGCAGTTTTATAAAATAATATAAAACAGATATAAATATAATATACTATTTTACGTGCTTTGATTTTTTATATACACTTTCTAACTATCGATGAATAAATATTTCTAAATATTTTAGGAATATTTGTACTATTTTTTGCCTCGGAAGCTCTGGGTCAGCTTAATGGTATAGTTGAAGCAAATTCATTCCCAAATAGCGACAATTACACTACTACGGACAGTTTTATCATTTTTCACACACCAAGTGAAGCACAACGTGATGGAAGAGAAATGGTAGCCGATGTTCTAGTTCATGGACCTAGAAACGACACAAATATTTCACATTTGAAGACATCTGTGATCTCTACAGATTGGAACAATTGGAATCCGAAACTTAAATTTCCTACGACCAGCTCCGAAAAAGAGTACAAAATGGCAAATTTACACTTGGACAGAGGAATATTTGTTTTTGATTTTCTACGAAAATTTCTGTCACTTATTCAACCTTATGACGTACCAGTTGGTAAAGTATACAATCTTGAAATCTTATTCATTATATTATATCTATACTTGTGTTTAAAATTTAATAAACACTTTGTATTGATATCATAATTTCAATTATGATATATTTTTTTATATTCAACATTGTGTTCTGTAAATAATGAAAGTAAAAATTACAAATAATAACAATTTACTGTGATATCCGTTTCAATGTTTTATGTTCAATGCTCCATTGTAGAAACGATATTAAACAATCATTATTCAATAATTCTAAATGGCAGAAGCATTTTCTAAAACAATATTTTATATTACCTATAGATTTATTGACAGATGCGATAGAAAACCGGTTAAGTACGTCAAGATTGATTTCAGAGGTAAGACAAATTTTTCTATGCTTTGTACATGACGCATTTTATCAAAGTATATAATGAAACTTTTTCTTTAATTTGGTTTAATTGTTAATAGTCAATACGCCTGGAAACAGCATTGCTGGCAGTGCTTGGTATGTGCTGCATTTTGTGCTGTGTAATACCTGGAATTGAGCTTTGGCTTGCATGTCGTCCAATAAGAGAAGATTACAAACCGAGTCAACATCCTAGCGCGCTTACATTTTTCCTGGCATTTTTTGTTTGTGTACTCGGGTAAGCAGTGTTACAAATACTGATGGTGAAATTTTTAAATACAAGTTGTTCTGCAACAGGTATAACAAACTACGAGAGATCGCTTTATAATACGATTCATCTCATTTGAAATCGCACAAAAATTGCAATCATAATTGCCGCTTTTTGTCTTCAAAACTTATGATATTTGCTGATAATCGGAAAAAAAATAAATTGTGCGAAATTCCAGTTTTCTTTCTCGAATAATTCATAAAATATTCAGAATTGTTAAAGATCCGAAAACTTGAACGAAACAATAGATCAACTCATGATGAGACATTTATGTCGATAAATTAAAGACATCTTCCATGTTAATAAGAATTGAACATTTAAGCATTTAAGCATTTTTCAACATTTCTTGTATACACTCGAAAATCCACTATAAGAAAATACAATAAAATTAACTTATACATTTTCTTTAAATTAATAACTTCTTCAAATATTGCTACAAACTCGCTTACACGTATTCATAAATCTGTCCAACTTACTTTTAGATTGGGCATGATTACAATGATCGTATGTAATGAGACAGTATCTGCAAGCGTGGAACAATTTCCAATTGTAGTTGAAACTGCCTTACAAGACTTAAACGATTATCATAGTAGCACAACGATTCAACTACGCAAATGCCTTTCAAGAAGTCTAGATGTGGCTAGCGAAGCAATTCTTGCAGATCTAGACAGTAAGTAGAATTTTGTTTTCTTCCACGTTGTACCTACAAATATCGTTTCTCCATATAATACAATAAATGTGAAAAATAATGGTATTGATCGCCCTCATGGAAACAGATTAAATTTTATTTGAAACATTTTTCCTGATAAAGAATAATTTGGGAGATAATTGTACGGAAAAATTAAAATGGAAGATCCTGGAAATTATCGTGTACAATTTAGAAATATAATTAAAAAATGTGAAGTTGAATACGACGCTAGGTACATTTTCGGAAGATAAAAAAAATGCGAAAAGATTTTTGTAATATTATACAATGATTATGAACGGAGAAATTAGAACATTCATGTGCGTGTAATGAAAGCTATAGAGATACTAAATATCTTATAATGGGTCTATCGTCGTTAATAGGCTAACCAGTCCTGCAAATTGAGCTCGTTAGTGTGAACAATACAGGGGATCGTATTATGTGCGTTTGCCATTGTACAAAGCCTGATCCTATCGTGTTACGTACTGATTAGTAAGAATATCTTATCAACAAAGTAATTTATTGATTAAATAGGATAGATCGTTTTAAATTATGATAAATCCATTTTTTTAAACCACCTATGACTTGAATATTAAGAAAGTAATAACAGTGATAGATTGTTTAAAACCCTTACAAATTTACAACATTTATTTGATTTAATCTCATTCTGCAATTTATTACGGTATTATGTTAGTACACGATACAATATTTTAAATTAGGAATGCCTGAAAATATATGGACGTACAAATGAGAAATGATTTTATAACTAATGATAAAATATAAGTATTACAATCAACCTACTTACATAAAGCGATGATCTGTTGTTGCATAACGCTTCCTTGGATAATCACACGCTCTCTCCCTCTCCTATTATTCTGCAACCCTAACCGAGTAACACGGATGGGGAACGTCACCTAACTGATTATGAGTGACACGTGTCGATCTTGTGTGATGAAATTTTATATTTATACAATTCGAAAATTTCGAAATATTACAATTTTTTATTGATTATAGTAAATTGTGCATATAATGCATATAATCACACAATGATGTCTAAAAGTATTTCATGCAAAGAGGTTGCGATTTTAATATTCGTGTGTGTATACGAACTTTTTTTTAGTATTTTTTAAATAGTTAAATCTGCCATCTTAAAACTTTATAAAGCGAAAATTGGAATATTTAAAAAAGAATCATAAGACTAAAAACGAAATACATGTATGAAAGAGATACGAGACTTTGGAAAACTCTGTACATTATTGTTTTGAACATTGAGCTATAAGTTGACTCGCTCTTAAAATGTTAATATAAAACATAATTAATATAAAAATATGATTATATTATCTAATTTTTATAGTGATATAAAAATTAGAATTTTATATTTAACCTAGAACTTTGTAATTAGCAAATGACGCGATTAGTTCATTTAGCGATGTACGTCGCGCGTGACGCACGATGTAACTGTGTTGGAATTCGCGAATATTGAACGCTGATAGTGACTGAGGAGTAATCTCTAGTATGTCGCTTGACTACCTCACAAGCGGAATTGAGCTGCATTCTCCTTAGTACAATGCGCCAAGCGCTCAATCACGCGACAAGCGTTCAAAAGGTAGACGTCGATTTCCCTTTAAACTACTGCTCGAAAAATGACTCAGTCCAGCCGATATCCGTGAAATCTATTATAGTCAGTAATCGCAATACGAATTGTCAAGCGTTTTGACATCTCTATAAACACGATATTGTTCAAATTCTAATTGTCTTCTTACGTATTTTTATCAGTTTATCAGTCATATGGAATTATTATGGAATTTTAATGATGTACAAGGCAAATTATCTACCGCAAAAGCGGAAATATTACGTATTTATGTAAAATAAAAATATGTTTATTTGTTGCAGATATAGAAGAATTATTGGGAAAGCCAGTGCAGAATGAATTATCCACTGAAACAGGACTAGATAACGCCTTAAATATGCTTGTAGATCTCGCAAATGGTAAGAGAACTATGACTGGAGTATTCGTAATGTATCTATTTTAAACGTCAAAATAGTGAAATTAATAAAAGTAGAATAGTAGAAGTAAAGTAAAAGTAAAATCAGTTCTCTTATTGCGACTGACACTTTAATTAGTGAAATGGATATGACCACGTCCGATTTTGCATGTTTATGACGACGTGGTTGTGACAAACATATTGTACACATTATTTATCATTATAATATTATTATATTTCAGCCAGCTATAAAATTTCAAGTAATGTTGAATCTTTATTAAGCGATGGTGAAAATATTCGTAGTCTTGGGAAGCAATTAAGTCGTGAAATTGATGATTTACGTCGAAATTTGGAAAGCATATTGAGAGCTTGTACCGGACGCGATCGTCCCCTTTGTACCATTATTGATTCTTTTGGATTACGATTAGCTTTACGGATAGATCAGGCAAATTGAATCTACTCTTATAAAATAAGTATATACTATTGTACGCTCAGTGCAAAATGTATAACAACGGTATTTGTATTTTTATAGTTTCTGAGAGATGATCATTTGCTGCGTTTACGTGATTTGAAACGAGAAAATTTTACAGAAACTATTCGTCAAGCTCGAGGAGAGTATATGTACATTCCACAACATATTGCGAGGAATAGTTTAGAAGTTCGGAATCGTAAGTAAAAATGTTTGTTAATAGTGTATAATATTAAGCATCAATGCGAACTGTGAGTGTAGGAATAATTTATAGAAGGATTGTGGTAACACAAATATTAGTATAAATACTGTTAATACATATGTATATTGCACGTCTATGGTTAAATTTTTAATATTAATTTATGAATTAATAATATCCTTATTATCTTGATTGCATTTGGAAATACAGCGAAAGATATAATCAAATAAAAAGGAACGTCTTTCAGAAATTCGACGTGAAGTGAATAAAATGCGTGCAAGAATCTTTGATGAAGCACGAAATATGGAAGCAAGCAATTCCGAGCTCGTTAAACAATTAGAATTTGCAAGGCATCTAGTGGATTATACGACACCATATATAATAGTCTTCGAACATGTCAGATGGCTTATAGGTATTGGTAAGTAATATATTTCCTTAAATTATATGTATATATGTATATATCTTCTAAAATTAAATTTTTTTTAAAGAATATGTATAGATATAACGATAGAAAGAGACAGAAATTTATATATAAAAGACGTTGTTTATGAGAAGAGCAAATAAAAAAAAAATAAAAGAAATATAAAATAACTACAGTAGTAAATCAATAAAATACTATGGCTTTTATTTATATTTTATAGGTGCCGTACTATGTATCTTAATTGTCTGGTTATTATTGTTAGGAGCTCTTTCTTGTCGTTGTGGTTCTTCTGAAGATAAAGTACGACTTACACTTTTATGGTGAGTATGCTATATTTAATCAAATTTAGTGCATTTATTCTCTTAGTAATATTACAGTGTAAATAATACTAAATTCTAAAATAATTTCCATTTGTATACACACATACACACACATTTTAATGAAATATGAGAGATATTTCTCGGTAAGATATACTTTTTTTGTTGGGCATTATACCTTAGAGAAACATAAAGACTATTATTAAGACTTTCTCATAGAGAATAAAAAATTGTAACTGTACTTAATTATCTTTTATTTTTCCTTTCTTTCTTGCATCAATCAAACAGCAAAATTATGAATTGTGAAGTATCGATTGCAATTTTTACATTTCAGTGGTGTATTTATGGCTTGTTTCATCTCAATTATATTATGGGCAGTTTTTCTAATGACTTTGATATTATCGAGTCATACAGAAATGTTAATCTGCCGTCCACTTCATGATCCGAATTATAGTACAATGCAAGCTATCTTGGAAACTCGAATATTCTTAGGAAAAAGATTAAGCGTATCTTTGAAAGATCTATTCGAGTAAGTCGATTGATTTGTTTGATATATATTAGAAATGAAAATTTATCGTATCAATAATGCACATTTTATTGTAAATGGTACAACTAATAAGAGAAGTTACCCATAAAATAATATTCTAGCAAATTATATAAATAATGTTCTAGGAAATTTTAACAATATATAAATTGATGCATTGATTTACAAAATAATGAATAATCTGCAATTACAGAAAATGTCGAGAAAACGAGCCCGCATATCCAGCTTTTGGATTAGGCAGTACAATGAAGTTAGAACAACTTACTGCATATTGGACTTGGTCAAGCTTTACCAGAATTATACTAAAAATTAAGGTTGAATTGAAAACTTTAAAAATATTTACGCCGTATTTGCGACAGCAACTACATAATTTATTATATGCTTGTGGCTTGAATTTAACAGAACATAGGATTATGGTATAGTAAATCCTTGATTAACACTTTCTATAGATAATTTAAATTTTTTGAAGTATTATTTGCCATTAGATCCAAGGAAGAATATTAAATAAAGATTTGGAAGCAATGTCAGATCAACTGGACAAAGTTACCGAACAAATGAGCGACAGATTAACAGCCAGAAGCTTGGAAACTATTGTAATAAATATGCAAGATTTGACTCTAAGGCGAGTGAAACCTTTAATGAAATTACAGAACGCATTGTTATATAAACTCGCTGCATTAGAATTGCAAGTGCAACCATTACGACAACAGGTTAATCAATCGCTTACTAATTTGAAGACTATTCAATATTATATTGATAATCAAGGAGATAAGATTGCTCAATTGGTACGTATTATTTGACTTGCCGACTCGAAATAAAATTTAAAATTTTGTAATAACCAATTTAGTCTCTGTTAAGGTATAGAGAGAATTCGGAAATACAAATAGTTTACTTTATTTCACACACAACAACTATACATATATATTACGCTTTGGAGACCTCGATAACCTTCTTGCATGCACGCTTGTTGTCGACCGACTCCACCACATTCTTCTAACGGCTTCCAACCGTTTTGTCTCAACTCAGACCTAGACGCTCGCTGATGCATACACACCCATTCACATGTACAGTGTAAATGTATCATCTACCTAACAGTCTCAAAATAATCAACCATAAGTTTTACTAATTATCTACATTGTAAAGATAATCTTAGCCCTTTGCACTCGAGAGGCGACTTTCAGTCACCACGGCATTCCGTATTGCAACTCCTGTGACGAGCGAGAGACGATAGTCCCAGTTTATGCTAGATTTCGACATCTCCAATTGATGAGAGTGCAATATTGGTTCGTAAATTGGTTCCTTAGCTGTTTGTGTTCTTTGTTAGGAAGTGTGAAGTGTTAGACTTTAAAATGGAGATCAAATATTTAATCCCATATCCCACCGAAACTATGGTTCAACTATGGTATTGAAACAACGTCTCCAATGTTAGTTCGGGTTCGACGATCATGGTAAAAGTATTATAGTTTAGAAACCCTAAAAAAGTGATTTTCACAAGTGAAATTAGCTCAAACGAAGATGAGCTTGATTTTGAACTGTTGAAAAATGAGATTAATTATATCAAGAATGCATCTTGGTGAATGTTTTATAAGTTATCATACAAGCAATACAGAAATTAATATTACAAAATCATATTTTCAAACATGTAAATATAGATAAATTATTAGAATATAATGTTTTGTAAGCTAATTTGTATATGAAATCATTTTACACTAGCTGTAAGACACGCGTCACGTATACGCTAAATCATCCGGAATAGCTGCTACGGAGCAGTGCAAAGGGTTAAAATATAGTTCTAGATAAAAATGTTAAGTTGAGTTAGAAAGACAGAAGACACTTTCGTTTATTTGATTGAACACTGTATTACGAATATTATACTTCTTGTACAGAAAACAAAGCTTTACACAGATCGACTAGCTAATTATTTGGATCAATGGAGATTCCACGTATTGTCCGAAATGGGCAATGGAGTAGCAAAATGCCGACCGCTTTGGGACGTCGTAGAAGGAATTAAACTTTTACTATGTAGTCATTTTTTAGGTAATTTGGTACGTATATATTGGAAGATATTATAAATATGCTTCAAAATATTATTCGAATAAGAGTTTACTCTTTTTTAACTTCTCAGAGTGGATACTGGTTTGCTACGTTTTTATGCATAGTTATTATGATAGCAAGCACACCAACTGCTCATATTTTGTCTTTGATATATAAAAAATTTCCATCTGTTACAAAGGACGCTACTCTTATATCCACAAGATCGTAAGTACCAAAAATTTTCTGTTTGATATTTTGGTAAGTATTTTGATTATTTTATGACATTATGCACATTGTGTATGGAAGATTTAAAAAGTTTTAAAAGGTAACGAAATAAATAGATAGAAAGAGTATTTTAGAAGAACTTATTTTAGGATACATATTTATAGGCAAATTTATAGATTAATTAAAAATTATTCAAAGATATTAAAAATTCCAAATAACTAATTATTTTAGAAATTTCATTAAGTACATTTATTATGCTAATATATAATACGTACTACACAATAATTATGTATTTTTAATTTCAGAGCAGATCCTCCGACCGAAACCAACGAACAAGAAAATTGGAATACACCCGAGTAAGCATACATTTCAGTTAAAAACGATATTTCCATTGATATGAATTACATAATTATATAGCTAATACCCTTTCAAAATGTAAAAAATTATTTAAATTTTCCATAAGTAAGGATTCGTTTAAGTTTAGTATTGTTTAAAAAAATATGTAACTGACAAATATGAAAGATTTATATTAAAGATATATTGTACATTGTATGTCTTTGAGTTATTTTCCAATCTTACTATTGTAGTATCTTCTTATTGGTAGACTTTGTTCTTTTACTATAGGTACCATATTGTTTCGAACATTTCAAATAATTATTTAATAAAATTGTAGTTTTCTCATCCTAGGAAATAGCTCATTTGTGCAGTTAATTTTTGCATATGTCATAAAATTCACAATTTTTTAAATATTTCTAACAAGTCACTCTTCTAGTAAATTGACGATACGTATAGCTAGTTCAAATGGACGTGCTTTAAAAATTCATCCGCAAGAATGTCATAAAAATCTAATGACGTATAAAAATAGCTAAATAATCTTTCGTAGATGACTCATCAGGTATCCATTGTCGTCTCAACAACCTGTTTACGCTAAGTTTGAATATAACTTGCTACTTGCTTTATCTCATCCATACAGTTGAGTGATTACACAAATCCAATTCACAATCATTCATCCAAGTACTAATATATTTTACATATAACTCAGTGAAGAATAGCTTTATAGGAATAGTTTTATCACCGTGCAATCATACTCAAAAGTCACAAATGTATAGTAATGTGTATAGTAATTTATTGAAGCCAATATAATACGTAATATTTATAAATATAAGCTTGTATGAATAAACATTACGTAAATATCAAATTAATAGAGGAAAGTATATTCAGCTAGATTATATCCATCGTAATAATAAAACAATTCATTTCCAGACCACCACCACCACCACCACCCGAACCCGAAGAAGGATGGCAATAAAAATTAGAAATATTTCACCGGATAATTCATCCATATTCCTGTATTTCTGCATAATATATTTTCACTTTTTGCAATCAGTACTTAATGCTTATGAAAGTTCTAATTGATTAAACGATATAAATATTTGAAAAATTAAATTGTTGTTATTAATCTCAATAAATATACTACTTTTTTATTTATACATTGATTAATTAACTTACTTGCCCATATGTGTATACATTATGCGTATACATATGTTCATGTCATTATAACAACAACTTTTCAACTCTAAGATTTTAATATAGTCAGATATGTAGTTTAATGTATATCTATGTATATTGGACTGTATTACACAAAATACGAACCCGTTCTGTTGAGTAGGCAGCAGTAGCTTGTCCGGTAGATAAATCCCTGCAAAAGAACTTCTTACAACCAAAAAAGTCTTCACACAGCCAAAAAAGTTGAGTCTTCATTCTTGTTAGTGAATGACACGACGAGAAGTTGACACCGTAATTTATCCTGCTCAGCACCTCCTGGTAATTGTGAAACAAAGGTGGACAGTTTGCTGTTTTATGATACATTGAAAGTTTTATATAAAAAGAATCCAAAAAATCCACCTAGGTCAACAGACCGTACAGATATATGAAATGAAAAATTTGTCAAATATAAATACTTATAAAAATACTAACTTATGGAAATCTTTTTATGATATTATATCTGTTATGCAAAACATTTTGAAATTTCAGTAGCTCTATAATAGGACTGTATCGACATAGTAAATAGTAAAGCAGTTCTATGAATTACAGTAATTCTTCACATATTAATAACTAAATTAATATTCACAAAATACTTTGTTTTTAACAAGCATTCGTGTAATTTATTTAACTTTTACAAATTCTGACATACGTATAAAAAAAAAGAACACATTTAGTGTTCCGACATAGAAACAAAAGATGCACTACTAGCTTCACCCCACGAATTTTTGGCAATGCAGTGATACATTCCAACATACTCTTTGGTGACACGAGGTAATTGCATCCATGATGTTCGCATAAGAGGTTCCGGACCGACGCTGCTATGGACTGTCGCTCCTTGGGCTTCACCTATCCACATAGAAATAGTAAATTATCACTTGTCTTAATAGATACATTTAATCCAACTAAATAATGTATTTGTAAATTATAATTATCGAACTAAACAACGTATTTATAAATTATAACTATGTTATTAAAAGCGTACCTGGCAGTTTCAAGACTTTCCTCCCATCTGCTGCATGAAATTCCCAAAAAATATCGGGAACAGGGAAGCCTTTCGCTTCACAATTTAGTGCTAATCGTTGGCCAAACACTGATAAAACATCTTCTAAAGGAGATAAAATCCAGGGACGGCTTTGACACGGACCAAGATGCTGTAACGTCAAGGAAGATGAACGTTTCCGTCTCATTGCCTCTTCATGCAGCGCACAGGGTGTTGTGTACGTTTTATTATCATTACCACACGCCGGAGTTTGTTCCATACAAACGCAAGTGGCTTCTGGTTCGTCCTATATATAATTAGAAATCATTAATTTAAATGAGTGTTCTAAAGATACAAATTTATTCTCTAACTCTTTTCTACAGAATGATTCCGCAACTGAAATATTCCACACCTATTTTTTGATTTAGAAAATATATGTTAGAGAAGAAGTGTGAATAAATATGAATAGTTAAGAAAAAATTAAATTTTCGCAATTATATTCATGTTACAATCGTCCGTAATGTATGTGCATATATTTTAGAAAATTGCGTGCATTAAAACCTTCTTGTCATTCCGCGTGAAAAAGTATTAAGTTTTTTTTATGAAATTGCAACATTCTAAATGATAAAATACATTGATAGCTTTTACAGTCAGTAGTGATACAATTTGATAATGTTTCTCTACGAATTCAGTAGTACGTATCATTGCTTTCCACGCCCTACTTATGAATAAAATCGACATCCGCCATTTCTGTATCTGCTTAACGAACAAGGCAGAAAGTCTTTCTTCTGTAACGATGATACAAGAAAAACGGTTCTGTTTTAAAATAAAAAATGAGATACGATATTTTATTAGAAATTAGCTAGATGATATTTCATTTAAATATACCTCTTTCCGGAGGTCCGACCTTAACTTGCACTCATAATTTCTTGCACATAGACCATCGTTACGACGTTTCGAAGGCAATCCAGGTATACTAGAATTCCAACAAGGTTCGCCATCCAATCGAGCACATATACCAGTTGCACAACATTTACATGGGTCGAGAACAGAACCTAATAAACATTTTCCAAAATCTCCCGGACACCTATATATAAACAAATCTTTTCAAAATTTACATTTACAAGATTGAATAAATGAAATTACTATTTTGATTTACAATCGATTTATGTCACAAATACAAATTTTTCGAAAAATAGTAACTGTTGAAGAAATGTCGAAACTTTATACTTTTTATTTTTAATGATTTTATGTTCTATTCGTCTTATCCAAATAATATATTAATATATTTTGTAGTTCAGTAAAAAATCGACGATGATTATCTTTGTATTTAATCTAAACGTAATACAATAATAGTTTATAAATTGCAATTTATTATATCAATGCTAAACTATCAAGTTCAATGTCCTCGCATCATAGCTATAGCTTGTCTCTCCATGTACGTTATATCACTTTGACATTTTTACCTTCCATTAAAAAATCAGCATTAAAATTAACCATGTTTGTAAAGTAAATATAAATTAGGACACAGAATATAATTCATCCAAATAAACGTATTTCTAATCCTAATAATTACCTATAATCGCCACACTCGATACATCCTTCGATGCGTTTCTCCTCTATGATCTCCGTATCTTCGTTAATTTCGATAGATGCAAAAGCGTTTCTTTCGAATATTGCAACACAGAATATAAACAAGTACGACAACGATAACACAGGAAGTGCTCCTTTACGCGTCATCTCGCTGACTAACAAGGCGAGAGTACTGACAAAGAGAGAGTCCCTTTCCTTGATTTCTTCCTAAGGGGGAGTAAAGATCCCCCGCGTTTCGCATAACATAACATTAAGAAACAATCGTGCAATATAATAAATTAATACAGAAATTATAGCTTAACTTAAAAATTATTAAGGTTTCCCATATACATTTTCTACATCAAATTTTTATTATACTGTACCCCTACCTTAGAGCATATCCCTATTTATACCCCGCTTTACATTTTCTCATGTTTCTCTATTTTATTAACAATTGAAGAACATTTGAACATGTTCAATTTCTTTCTGTGAAATTTTAAAAAGAACATATGACTTTAACGAAGAATGTTAGTTCTCGGCTCATTTGAATTATTCAAGTTATATACAGATATTTGAACATAACGTTACATTCTCTTAGAAAGAATTTATAGTAGATGCTTAAAAAATATCAATAACTCTGAAATCAATGAGCAATGTTTGGATAAATGTTTCACAGCTGCTTTCGACAAACAATAAAAATATTTAAAGATAAGGGGTAATTGACGTGTAAAGTCTTTAGAAACCTCTTTCTATTTGAGTACACTTTTAAAGACGCTATATGTTAAACGCTTGCAAAGAGATACTTCCGAAAGCGGATATTGCGAGAATAAAGCAACTGGCGTCTGGACAATCAATCAATTAGACGGTCAACTAGTTGAAATACTATTACCCACGCGACTCTCTGTTCTTATCATACAAAATCAAATATACGTGTACATATGTTTATTATTTCCATGTACACTTACAGAGTAAATAAAACTGCTCAATTGTCTGATATAGATATATTTCGAATTGTTTCTTAAGCGACTTGTAATAATTATTTATGCTATTTACTTGTTTCAAACTAAATAAAGTAATTGATTTTACATATAGGATCAGTGGATTAGAACGAGGGAAATTATGCTAGACTTAAGAAGATGACTAAAGATATATTTGCAGTATTTCTTACAATTATTTCAGTAAATCTAACAGACCTACACTCTCTGACAACTCTCACGCGACTTCTGATGAATTCTTTCATGGTTCAATCACTGTGTATTTTCGAGCGAATGAACAATTTTCTCGTAATAATCGCTTACGGCACAATGTTGTACTAGACGTAGTACATGTTCCAGTTTCAATATTTTGCATTATAATTTATTTTAATAGAAAGTCAATGTAAATGCGTTATTGATTACAAAAATATGAAAATACAGTCAAATTCTAGACGCACACCACATTCTTACTACTTTTTTTTGATCCTCAAACATTAATCATCCACGCCATATTTACTCTTATAACTGGACTGCGGATCTTTATGCATTTATAGAAAATGTAAAGGTACAAAAATGTACAGAATGAAATCATATATAAATTATTAAAAGTATAGTATCGTTATAACATTTAATGGTATAATCTTATCTTTCGTAGTATCTATCGAAATATAAATTTACATAAACATCCAGAATCTACTTATATCAATAATGCTCAAAAAGATAAAATTTTACTCCTTTGTTATTGTAACGTGAATTGCAATGGATTCCGCGCCAAATAAATCACTTTCTGTCAGGGATTAAAAAAAAGTTTTGGTGAAATCTTGTAGTCTTGGTGAAATTAGTGAAGAGTAAAATAGATGAAAGAAGTGAATAAAATGATGACTTACCCCTTCCCACTTAATTTCACATGGACTAAATTATATTTCACATTGAAAAATATTTCTAATATCAATCTGAATGTGATCGATTTAAGTAGAGCATCTCGTATATAAACAGGGGACACACATGAAAATTTGTAATCAAATAGAGAAGTACAATTTAAAAATGATCAATCGAAACATATCGACATGTATATCATTTTATGATATTCGTGATTATCCACGAATATGATAATTTTAATTCACTGAAACACTGATACTTCATTGAGATTATACTTATAAAAAACCAGTTATTAATTATAATACATGTAATATTTAATAAACTTCTTTTTAATCTTTCTTTTCTTAATCTGATTCTGACCCTGAACTAACATCCGACTCATACTCTTCTACACTGATAGTAAATTTGTATTCCTGGTCACAACCTAAATAAGCATCACTCATGAAATACAAAGTGTAAGAATGTTGACCAGGAGCAGGTGCCACAAAATCGAGTTT